TGAACGAACGGTCCAGATTGAAGCTGAGGATTTCATGATGTAGGATCCCGGCTCTAGGATTCAGGGTTTCGGTTTTGGAGCGGGCGCAGAGCCTTTGAGCTCCTACTCCTACACTTTTATACGCCGCAGCCCCAAAGCCCTTGATAGGGTACTGTCAAGCTCAAGAAGCCTCACACTCTGAAGCTGTAAATCCGGCAAGCTGATCACCCCGCAGTTTGAGGTCTGCAAAGAAGCAGAAGCTTCAAGAAAGCACTCGTTAGGAGATCTGGTCAGTCGGATTTCGGCTCACGAGATTCGCAAGAATGCGGTCTTTTGTATAGCGGGGTGAAACGGTGCGTGTGGTTCAGGAAGTTTAGGATGTACGGGCTTGAGCGTATCTTCTTCGGTTTCGGATTTACTGTTTCTGCATATGGCATTGGAGAGGCGGCTCAGTCTGTCGTGGTTGAAATTTTCGGCGGGTCAGGCAGCACTTCCCGACCCCAAGCCGATTTGAAAGTTTGCCTGTGACTTGCTATTTTTTAAAAATGAGGACAGGGGATTACCACTCAGTAACACTATTATAGTCTCCTTACAAAACACTGAACCGGTTATTGTCTGCAAACCTGTATAACTATACTGTGTAACACCAGAAAGCAGAGCTCTAGTAATCAGAAGCTTTATGCCTATGATCCGGACTCAGGCCGCAAGGAAGATGGACGTGCAGACCTTAGCACTGAGCACCATCCACAGGTGTCTGACTATTTGGCTGACCTTCTCTCATAGTGCTCATATTATTATACAATATTATACATATCAGACTCTATCCCAAGACCCTACAGTATTCTTGTATGGAGGTCTCCCAAACCCATATTACGCGAGCCTCAATTAAAGGTAATTAAGTAGCGGCATCAAGTTGGCTAAAAATTGGCTTTGCAGCCTGGCAGCCAGTCATCAAAACACGCAACTGTCGACACCTTCAGGTTATTGACTACTCGAACTCCACTCATCGCTGTGGCATATCCCATAAACTTGGCACCAGAAATGGTCTACACAGCCTTCAAATATACACTAAACCAGACCGCTACAGCAGTCAACCCTCAAAACCAAGCCGCTACCCTGAGGCACTAAGTCCCCACAAGCTCTACGTCTCAAACCTAAAACCTACAGCCTGGACCTTCGTGCGTGTGTGGGCTTGGCGAACCCAGGTTTCCCGTATCCAAAGCCGCTTCAGTCTTGTTTACTGAGCATGGCAATCCCAAGAGTTTGTTGAGAAGCTGCGACTGTTTCAGGTGAGCTTGTCGCACCATTTAGTTTGGGCGTCAACGTCCAGGAAGTTTCGTGAGGTTGACTTGGCTACGTAGTTTTCGAAACCAAGGAAGCTTCTGCTGAGCAGCCTTAAGTTTTAGAGTCCAGGGTCCAGGTTCAGGGTTTAAGCTGGCCAAGGTCCTTATTGACGAACCGTCCCACAAGGGTTGATGCCTTGCTTGTAGTGATAGGAGGTTTGTCGGCATCAGTTTGAGTGGGTGCTGGCTCGGGCTCCTTGGTGTAGGACCACGAGGTCCCAATGCCGGGACCTATGCACCACTTAGCAAGTAGGACCGCCCTCCTGGTGCATTTCCGCATGTGACCCTACTTGTGCCTATACTAAGACCCTACGTACACAACCCTGGGACTGGTTGCTTGCACCTCAAGCTTCAGCCTCCGTGTGGCTAGATTTGTGTTTCACGGCGGAGCCAAATCCGAGAAAACAACTCGAAAAAGGTAGTGTCAGAAGTTCAGGGCTTCTACAAACACAAAGAGCTTAAAGTGCTAAATCGTCGGCGGTCAGATTCTTAGCATGAGGACCTGCAAGTAAATGGCACCCTTTGTTTGAACGTGTCGTTTCTTCTGAGGCGCCCATCATGATTCAGTTCTCTTCTGGAGGATCGCAGCCCACGGCTAAGCTTTGAAGAACAAGCACAGACTCTGATAACTTAGGGGCCCCGCAGGCAGTTGTCTGATACTTTACAAGTTGTCGGGGTTGAGAGCCACAAGGATCAGCCAATGCGAGGGCAGAGTGTGCCAGCTGGGACCGCATACCAGGTAGTGATGAAGAGATCGAAGGTTCGTTCAGTGGGCTTTCCTCCCTACACACTTTCACAGTAGCGTATCAACAGTGCAGCAACCTTCGCCAGAACAAGTAGCTGACGTAGCACCACCAGCTCTGCGAAGATGACGAAGGGGTCGACGACGACGGCTACAACAGCTAGTGCTGCTACTGCTGCTGCTGCCGTTGCATTTCATTTATTCTACTGCCAAGTACTCTTTTAGGACCACTGGAAGTTTGAGTCCCACGGGTTACCTCTGGGGTTGTCGCTGTTTGGCATGGCAGCGCCCGACCCGATGCATTCGTCTCACGGATGTCCTGGTCCTAGTTCTCAGCGCCGATAACTGCTGTGGCCGCATTGTGGCAAAAGCTAGGAGCAGAGCCGCAGAGCGGCTCTGTGTTTACGGCTGTCATGACTCTTACATTTGGCCGAGGTTCTATGCTGGCAAAGGATTGGACAACAAGGACCTCGTGCTGCCTCCCAAATTCTTACCGGCTTCACTAGATCGCTTGAGTTGTGTTTGTCTGCAGGCCAGACGCGTCGAGAAGGGGTGTGTTTGTTTGTACATGTGTGCTTGTGCACAGACGCTCCTGGGCAAGTTGTGTTTGTGTTCGTTAGTGTTTTCAGGCGCTCCGAGAGAGTTGTTGACTTTCCAGCGTCGGCTGATTTCAGAGCTTCTGATCTTGAGGATCTTGCGATTCGAGGCTTTGTGAAACTGTCTTTCGTCCCCATAGACTAGGCTTGTTGCCTCGAAGTCGGTACGGTGGTGGCCGAGTCAAGGGCATGATCGGTGTGTGTTGGGAATCTCGTACTGGTGCGATCCTTCTGACAAGAGCAGTATAGAGGTTCTCCCAAACTCTCGTGACCTTGTCCAGCCCTGATAATGCCGTCACCCACAGCCAGACTCATTGAAATCAAAGCCCTAGGCTGACCCGACTGACTTTTCAGGAGTTCCATGCCGCCATTGCCGGAGCCGTTTCCGGCGCGTGTCTTGCCTCGAAACCCCTCTGTGAGCAGGAACCCAAGAACCTCGAGCCCCATAAGCCCAATTAGAGGTGCCCTGACAAGTTCTAGAACCTTAAATAGGGTTTGAGACGTAGCTCAAGCGGTAAGATTGCAGCATTCAGCGCTCTGGGTGACGCAGTGTTTAGCGGTTCTCGAGGAGGCAAAGATATGCGTAGCTCGGAGGCTTTGTCTGAGATCCCGGGCTTGAGCCACAGCAGCTAAAAAGAATGGCTGTCCACGGGATTACGGCGTAATTGCGGACTTTAGGGTTCAGGGCTTTACGGCTTGTAAGATTTGAATTTAGGGTTCAGGTGTTTAGGCTTGAGGGTTGTGCTGTTTCAGGTATAGGTATATTAATTAGCTGAGGTTCCAGCCCGGCACGCAGAGAATCCAAACTTGAAGTTTCTAGAGTTACTGGGTAATGCTGATTTCGTGTTTTTTGTTTTGTAGCTGTAAGTTCTACGAAAGACAGGCCAACAGGGCAAGGGAGCCGGTGTTGTTCCGACTGGGCTGGTGCTGGACCTTTTCTGAAATTGGAAACGCATTGCTATTTGCGATAAATCCTGATGCCCTTGCAAAAATCGGGAACGATCATGTGCCTTTGGTTTGCAGTGGAAGTCCGCATAGCAAACCTCCCACGAGGAAACTAGCACAAAAATCCACAACCAGAATCCAAAATCTTGCTGGACCTATGCAGCTGTAAACCTTAACATACCCATCAAAACCTATCCCTGCTATCTAGACCCTATGCCCCAAAACTTAAACCCAGAACTCTGCACTTCAATCCCCCAATCATAGCCCAGCCCGGAATCCGAAATCCCTCAGCCGTCAATCCTGAATCTTCAACCGGAAGCATCATGAACCTCGGAAACCTTGAAAAGAATGGTACCCGAGGTATCACGTCCGTGCCATCGCCGAACAGTATGGCGTTCCCGTCATCCTCCACACAGCCTTCGGGCGCTGTTTTGGTAGCTTGAGGTAGAGGATTTATGGCCGCAGGTCTCGGAGCTTCGATTTGCGGTTTGGGATTCTAGGGATCTGGACGACATTCACTTAAATCCGTGACTCAGGCGGTTTTGCTTGTTCCGAGCAACCAAACCCCAGAACCCCTGAACCCCGAAAGAGCTTCTAAATCCAAGGACCACTGTGCCAAGAACCTCCTCCCTTGGTTTGATGGGCTTCTCGAAGCCGATGTCCCTCCGGCTGCCTTGTGTTTTTTCAGTGGCGTTCCTTTTGAGTCAATTTGGTGAGTTGGCGGAGTTGGTTTTTGCATTCGGCGATTTGGATTTTCGGGACTGTAGCTTATGTCGTGTTTCGAGTTCAGGTTGGGAGGTTCGGAGGTGAGGTGTGGAGGGTTTCCTGCTCGTAACTTGTTATCCACTTGGAGTATGACATACCCCCAGAGCCCCAAAGAGGTTTGTTACGGCCCTCAGGGTTCAAAGTCCCTGGGTCTCAGTCTTCACTGTTGATGCTTTTGGGTTCGGGGCGGCTGCAGCTTTGAGTGCGCTGCGAGTTGCATGGAAAGGACAGAATACGCCAATGAGAAGACGTCCCACACACGGGACCCTGGCTCAGAAGTATTCTCCACCCCGAACCTGAGGCCCGACTTTTGTTTAGCCTGATCCTTGAGACGCCGGCAGAGCCCAAAACGCGAAACCAGACCGTCAAGACCCTACATAAACTCTCCACTTCTAAACCGCACTTGGTATGGCCTGGCCTCAAAAGTGGGGACCACAAACTCGAAACCCCCACCCGTCCGAACCAGCCAGACAATCCAACAAGCTACCTACCACAAACAAGTGTCAAACAACACATCAAATACACTTTACATGCATATCTCGACAAACACCCACACGCAACCACAAAGACACCCAAACACAGCAGGAGCGGTACTTTGAGCTCCACGGTGAGCCTCTCTTCTCCTCGCACATGCTGGACCTTTCCGAGGAGCCTGGGGTGTGTTCTGGGGTAATACAAAGGTTTCAAAGATTGGCCAAGGATATTACTATACCAGTCCCTTTTCAATCTTACCACGAAACTCTTCTTTCATGTCTGCAGCCCCTAATCAGGGGCTCTCCGGGTTTACGACTCAAGAGCGCAGGGAGTTCAGCGCTTCAGGGGATTAGGGTTCTGGATGTAGGCCCTTCAGGGTAAACATGTAAGCGCCTTTCGAAATCAAGCGCCCCCATTCTTTTTGATCGGATTTTCCGATTCAGGATCCTGTCATGTAACCAAAAATAGTTGCCTAAGGGCTACTACTTGTATGGTTTAGGTGCTAATGTTTAGGATGCAGCAGTATCCGCAGAGCAGTACCTTCCCCTCCCGCCCCGAAAAGTCAGGTACACATGCTTTCATAATTCCTGTGTGCTGATCCGGACCGCGAGTGAGCGAAGCCAGCAGCCTCAATCTGCACAGCGAAACCGTTAAACTCGTACACTTCGATCTCGGGTTGCTGCCAGAGCGCACCTGTTAACACTGCAGTATATAATGGTTTTGCAAAACCACATTCCGGAGCCCAGACAATCAATGCCCAAACCCCAACCCCAAGCACTGAACCCAAAGCCCGAAGCTCGTTCATCCCTCAGTCCCCAGACTCCACACTCAAACCCTAAGCCCCTGATGCGCTGGAGGAGCCCCTCGAGGAGAATATTGAGATTTGCGCCCGGGCCCCTGCCAAGACAAGGGATTAAGTCTGGGGGGGTCAGCGGTTTCGGGGTGTATGATATACATATACCTGCATATGTATATATATATATATATATATATATATATACATATGTATATATTCAGATATATATGTGTGTGTAGAAGTTCATACATATATGTACATACATACATACATAGATACATACATAGATACATACACATATGCACGGTAAGCAGCTTTTCCTCTTACGACGATTACTACTACCACCGCCAACGATAGTAATTTAGTTTGTTATGTAGTATATGATGAGCATGGTTTTGGTTTTTGTTTGTGTTTAGGCTTGGAGTTGCCAAATTTCGTACCTGTCGCTGTCACAGTTTATGCGCGAGTACTTTTAGTGTTGCAAATGTTGCCCCGTGTGTATATATGGTTGTTCTCCTCATTATGTTTTTCTTCCTCTCTGGTGCTTATCGAGTCTATACTGTGTCTACAGCACAGAGCTCCAGCACTTGCGCATGCAAGGGAATGTTGAAGAAGCAAGTTATCGCAGTTTGCTATCCGACCAGAAGACTTTTGTAAATCGTGGTTGATATAACTCAGGGGGGGTTCAGCGGTCTGTGGGTGGTTGCAGTGTCGCTATTGCGGTCATGCCCCGAAGTAGTCCGAATGCAGCAACTTGAAGCCAAAGCTCCCATCAGGTGCAGCCAAGGGAGTTGGTTAAGGAAGGCTTGGCATTTTCGGAGCCTCGTCAACATCTCCGTAATGCCAGCACCAGTGGCATCATTTGCAGCGTGATCACCAAGACGTTCAATAACAACCAACCTTGATTCAAGCTTGACACGCGTCTACTAATCTTGGGACGTAATTGTTAGTTAGTTGTTATTGATGCTGGGATAGTCACTATATGGACATAGCACACCTGGCAACATGAAGTCGGTTGGAATCTTGGCAGAAACGGAAAGTAAGGAGCTGAGTTTGTTTGGAGCTAAGGCGATACCCAAAAGCCCTGAACCCGAGAACTCTGAAGCTTCACCCAACGGCATGAACCGTGAGAGCAGTGAATTCAGGATGGACCCTTGTTATTGTTGCTTCAGGGATATGGAGCTCCTCACAGGTGAAGTACATGGAGAGGATGGCCAAGATTAACTGCGGACTCGAGATGGAGTTGGGGACCCCTTGGCATCGAATGGCGGTTGGGATTAGCTGGGATTTTGGGCTCCGGGCTTAGTGTTACACAGGCTCTGCTTTGGAAATTGCTTTGAGGCTTTGGCCACTGTTGTGATTGGGTTTTTGAATTTGGGGTGCATGAATGAGGGTTTTGCGTCGCATGGCTTGGGGTGGCGAGCTAGGAAGCTTTGGTGGTCACCCCGAGTGATGATAGCACTTACTCTGTGTTTCTCGATGACACAAACACGGCCTGCGATCGTGCGTCAAGTGTCGTCTCTGGGCCGACTCACAAGGAGTCTGGCTGCATATACAGCCACAGTGACAGATGTTTGTTGTGCAGCAGAAGCACGGTGATCAGTGACAATATAGGGGATGAGCCAACCATGGTGATGACGATGCTGTTGCTGATCCCGATGGCGATGGTCATGGTCGTTCCGGTTATGCTGGTTGTCTGGTCGTTGAGCACGAATATGAAGATGATGATGATGATGATGATGATGATGATCGTGAAACTAACGATGATGATGATGGTGATGTTGGTGACTGACAAGACTTGTACGTACCAATGAACTTCAAGCACCACGAATCGCGATAGTGCGCAAAGAAGCTGCAGTGACGACATCGCCGCCTGGCGGTGGTGGTTTTTGGTCAAGGATCTTGGCATTGAGGGTTTATCTTCGCTCAGCCCCAAGAGCCGTACGTCCTGGGTCTGTGTGACAATGGACTTCCTTGGCAGGGGCCCCAATGCCCGGATTTTTGTGAGCGTCTGCGTAGCCCTTGAAGCCCCAACATACAAGGCAAAAAGGATTGAAGTAAGAAATCCGGAGCTTCTTGTTTACACTCCATGACTGAAGGCCTTGGAAAGCTTTACCTGAACGCCTATGCAAGCCTGTTGGCCTAAATCCCTGCAGGACGTGCCGTTTCAAGAAGGCCTTAAACCCCAAACATTTTAAGCCTACTGGCCACAAAGAGGTACCTCGCGAAACCCCGAAAGCCAAGAGAACCTTCAACGCAGGATCACAGGTGGCGAGGAGGACGGCGTGAACAACGAGGAGCCGTTGGGTTTCACAGTGTTTTGAGGATGTGAACAAGAGAACCATGGGGTTGCAGTTGATCGTAGAGTTGTAAAGGTCTGAGAAGTATTAGTTCCAGAACCTGGCACCCTGGTGTAGACTGTAGACCCTAACTGGCGGATCCTAAACATGTGGGACCTGTAAATGAGGTACAGCCAACCCTCCCCCAACAGCTCCAGTTGGGGTGGCTTCTACGCTTGTTCTCAAGGCTGGGGCTTGAGCTCAAAGGCAAACTATAGCCACCAGTGAAACTTGCAAAGCAAGCCTCAACTCCGAAGGTTTGTGCTTTAAGCCTTTCAAAGCCCGCCCCAGTGCTAAACCATAAAGCTCTCTAAACGTCAAACTTCTAAACCCCGAGACCAAAACACCGGTAGGTCTGGGGAGTCGTCTTTCGGATGTCAGAGCCCAAGCCGTAACATTCTGGTTTTTCTAGAGCTCCAGCCTCGGGTGTCGAGCCTCGGGCGAAACTGGACCTCGAGCGTGCCAGCCGTTAGTAACGCTTGTGTTTGGGGTCCTTAGGTGTTGGGTCCTGGGCTTGGGTCTTGGATTTGGGGGTTTGGACCTTGGGTTCGTTTTGTATTTAGGATGTAGGGCTAAGTTAAGCAAAACCCTGCACCCTTACCGTCGTACAGACCTCAGACCTTGGAACCCCAATGGTCTACTACCCTTTAACCACGTAGACCTGAAGTCCTCAACGCACCCATCCCTGGCCAAAAGAACGAATGAGGACCATTAGCACTAACACAAAAGGAAACAGATTCTACAACAGAAGGAGAGGGGTAGGCATATGTCACACATACATGTTTGCATGTATAGATGCATCAAGAAACACATTAAGCAGTTCTACATACGCACGTACATGTATGTATCCACGTTTCATTCATTTAGGTAGTATTTACATGCAGCTTGAGCTTCTTCGGACAGATAGTACGTAGTAGTATCTATCTGTTGATAATATAACTGCTGAAAGCAACTCTGCAGGATGCCAACCCAGAGGATCTCTACTCCAAGCCCGAGGCCGTTTCGGGGGCTCGTGGAGGGCCTTCGACCTCAAGAATTTTTGCAGAGTGAGGTCTACAATAGCCCTGGAGCCCAAACCCTGAACCCTTAAACCCCAAACGAGGGTCTCTGTGGGATTTGGCGCTTGAACGCCTGAACCCTGAACCCTAAACTTGCTACTCTTGCGCCCCACATCCCGCAGACTTTGTATTAATAAATTCTCCCATAATATATCAACTAGTAGCAGTAAAGATTTCTATCATTAGAAAATATTAAAGTTGTAGAATATGCTCTTTTGTTTCGTCCATATTTCGTTTGCTTTGTTTGGTTCTTTCTCGCTTTCGCTTGGGCTACATTGAAAAGAACACAAACAAAGCCCACGAAATAACTCACTTCATATTATTACAGGATTCTTACACCTTAGAATTATTCCCTTTGCCTTCTAAAAAAGATTCCATTCACTTCAGCATCTGGATCCAGGCGTTAAGGGTTATGATTAATGATTTTAGGTTTATGAGAATGACCTAGAATTTAGTATCATTGGGGTTGGTTTCAACTTCATCTTCAGTGCCCCGGCGGCGAGTGTAATCTTGAGTACGTACCCGATTCAATTACAGCGCTCGCCTGATGCTTCCCGGGTTAGCACAGACTACATGGCACGCTGGATCCCAAACACTCAATTCCTCGACAAACTAAAAAACAGAGCCCTACACTGCAAACCCAAAAGTCCCGTCAGCCTAATCGCTCAGCTCGACCCCAAAGCCCTTAGGCCAGGCTGAAGCCCTAAACTCTCAAACCCAAGCCCGGAACTACCTGTAACCCAAGAGTCCCAAACCCCCCAAACCTCTAAACTCGCCCTATAGACCTCAAGCCCAAACCTCCAAACCGCCCCTGAGCTGTGAGGAGATTTGGCAGGTGTATGAGGCTTTGGCGAAGGCCTGGCCGGGTCCTGGGAAGTTCCCATCCGGTTCTCCTTAAGGTTAGGGCCAGTGTTTTGGGGCGTGGGGCTGCACAGGGTTAAGACCTGGGGGATAGGGCGCTTCAGTTCCACGTCACTGGGGCTAGCTATTTGATCCTGCGGGGGTGTGTTAAACGATCCCAATGTTTACAGTGGATGTTGCCATTGCTCCTTAACCGCGAAAAGCCGCCAAGACCTCAATCCTTAAGGCTTCCTAAACCTCAAGAATCAAGCAAGCAGCAATGCAGAGCCTCAGGAAGGGGACCACCGCTGGCTTGCACAGTCTTGATTTGCTCGAAGTTCACCAAAAGCACACACGAAACGTAGAATCCTAAAGCTGAAGAGCCTTAAGACAAAATCCCAACTCTACAACACAGGCACGCGACACTTTCAACCACCTGATGGTCACTTCACACCTTTAAGCATAGCAACCAGACGGCCAGAACTGCCCCTAAAATCCTACAACCTGTAACAGTAACAACCAGAGGACCGCAACTGTTTGTTTTCTGGATTGAGGGGGGTTGCTTGACATTTGGTCATCGCTTTTTGTATATTGTACTGACGGTGCATCCGATACATGAAGTTAGCGACGAAACGCCACAGCCCCGAGAGTTCTGGGAGCCCAAGACAAGAGGTAAAGGTTGCTGTTTCATGTATACTCCTTTCGCAGCGCTTGCGGGTTTATGTCAGACTTCAGGGTCCAGTTTATGAGGGTGAGGTGCACTTCTAGTGAGCCAGCAATGGACGCTTGCATGTCCATGATCCCCAAGAGACCCTTTCTAGTTCGACCAGAGCAGATTCCGAATGGCTTCTTTACCATCGCGGCCGCCTTCGGCAACGTCCACGGCGCTCTGTCTGAAAGACCGCCTATAAGCCCCAAACCCCGAACCCTAAAATGCTTTTTCGAGATTGCGTTTGGTGACTTTGGGAGGATAAAGCAAGCTTCCCCAGATCGCCAACGATTGCAGTTGCGAGTTCTTTGTTTTTGAGTGATCTGCAAGTTTAACCTGTTGTTCCGTGGCTATTGGGAAGTAAGGGAATTGAAGCTCTCCGGGTTCGCAAAGCCCTGTGCAGAACTCCACACGAGCTTTGGAGAATGAGACCTGTACGCATCCTGTAGGGTGTGGGGATTCAGGCTGTTGAGGTTTAAAGGGACGTCCACGGCCGCGAGCGCATCTAGGACGCACTTAACGGCGGCTCGCCAATACCAAGGAAATCGTTCGTGGAAGCGTGAGAGTCGGTTGATGGGGCTAATTCCTGGGTCTCTTGCCCATATCCGATGTCCACGCGGAGGCGAACGTGGCCACAGCTTTCTAAGCTTGGGACCCCCATGCCCAAGTCGTCACGTCTCCACTAACGGGTCACTAACGGCAGTAGCCCAGCCGCTGCGGTTTCGGATCGGGCCGGGCCCTGCTGAGGCGGCCTCATCGGCCCGGCCCAACTTGCGATGTCATGACCACGGTAAGGAACCCTGGTGCCTTCGGGAGTTTCCACAAAAAGCGGGTATGCGAACGTGAACGCCCACCCTGACATCGCAAAGCCGCAGGAAAGCGCTCAAAAGAGATTTCGATTGAACGACCACGGAGGGGAATGTAAAATGGTCTAGGCGTTAGTAACAGCTAACGTCCCAAGCCTATTGTTGAGAGAAAGGAGGCGCAGCAGCACCTCAGCAAAAGCAAGGAACGTTGAGATCCGAGGTTCCAAAGCCTCAACTCTTCTTGAGGTCTCCATCCCAAAACCCTGAACCCAGGGGCCCGGAACTCTGCGAAAGGGCTGTGAGTGTTGAAGCATTCCGGGCGGGTTTGTGGGTTTGCACAGGCGCATCTCGTACGAAAGCTGTGGGGATGCAGAAGATCTTGGAGAAGCCCAGAACACTCGCTCACGGCTCACGGTTTCCCACAGCTTTTTCGCAGAAAACTTTTACGATTACCAAGGACCGCTATCACAGTAGTTACTGCTAGTCTTGGGTTAGGTCGCCCAAACCAAAGGGTTTGGGAGCCCAGTCCAAAAGCTTTAACCTGGGGCTTTCTCACTTACACATCCAATTGAGAGAAACCGTTTCAGTACATTCTAAACATGAAAAGCCTATGTACTGTGTTATATGTAGCTACTTGGGACCCTTTGGTTGAGGTGTGTACCAGCCCGGCAACGTGGTGCTCAAGCCGAAGATTTTGGATGCTGCGCAGAAGTGACCCAGAGAACCTCTCTCACGGTTGTTGCACTGAGGGCTTAGGTTTTGGGGGGATTCGGGCCTTTCGGGTTTACGGAACCGTTAATTCACGAGACGAGTATAGAGTTTAGGAGTTCGCGTTTGGGCTTGTGTGGCTTTTCAGGGCAAGAGTTTCCCAAACCTGAGCTTGTTTTCAGTAGGTGAGTCGGCAACATGTAGCGTCTTAGGTATCCAGCGTCTGGCCACAATGGAAAGTATTCATCTTAGGTCAGGGAACTCGGCAACTGTAGGTTCTTGCACGCACAAAGCTGGGTTGAGGTCATAGCAGATCAGATGCGGATGTCTCGCGTCTTACATCGTAGATTCGTAGATCTATCCTTTACCCCCCCCCTCCCCCCAATTTGTCCCAACCCTAAGCCCCAAAGCCTACGCCCTGAACCTCGGACCCTAAAACCTGACCAACAGGTACATCGCCGAGAAGATCGGAGCCGAGGAGCTGAAGTTTGACGGTGGGATGAGTCGAGGGCCCTCAACTCGAACCCCTCCATTACTTGCCCCCTCCTGTTGGGAATTCGGGGTTTCGGCTTTGTCGGGTGTTTTGAGTGCTTCGGGCGCGTACCCACCCTGTAAAGCCAAAGTCACGACAAGGCACCTAATAATCCCATTAGGCTAAGAACCCCTAGACTCTACAGTACGCCATAGTACGCCTAAACCCAAGCGCCCTTAAACTCTGAATGCTGACATCGTACACCCCAAGCTTTGCGTTTAATTCACATCGTGTGTAGGCCACTATATCAACCCTGAGCCCCGAAACCCATGCCCTGGCATTAACGACTAATGCTGAGACGAAGAAATTATCAGAGCGGTACGATGTGACATAATCCAAAAAAATATTGATACTTCCAGCAGCCGAAGAAACAGCAAGAGTACACAAGCCTCTGGCTCTTGCACGCTTGGTATTATATACCGAATCTCAACCAGTGATCCCAAGCGCTAAATCTTCAGAACAGACTAGACCAAAGATTCTTAAAGCCGCTTAGCAAAGGAACATGTTTTTTCTTGCTGCAGTTGTAGCAGAGATTCCTCAGCGTGGACAGTGAATGAAGGATGACCACGGGATATCGGAGTTTCTGATTCCTGGGAAGCTTGAGAAAACTAAACCCTGAGCCCCTCGATAGTGATGCTTAACAACGCTTCTTGCCAAATGCACCTGGAAAACATACGAATTATACCCTGAATCGGAACACTCCAGAGCCCTGATCCTGAACCCTACTTCCGCAAATTCTCGGACGCAAAGTTTCAGGACGGCCGCCCAACTTAGCTCTAAGAGCCAACCAACCTCTACAACCCTCGGCAATGCCACTAAGCCGTATCAGGGACTTCATAAAGCCGCTTGGGAAGACGAGCAGGAGGGAACCAAGCCCGTCAGCTTCGTCTTCCACGGTGGCTCTGGTTCAGACCTTACGGACATCCGCGAGGCCTCGACATCACTTCTCCTCCTGGGTCCCATCTTTTGGGTTTTATGGGGGTTAGGGGGGGTGTTATTTGCCATCACAGGGGCTTGGGAGGGTGCTTAGATATTGCTTTACCGTGGTGTAAAGGGTTTCATAGACCTATTTAGTGTCCCCTTGGGGTTTATATAGGGCTGTAGGTTGAGTTTTTTTGCAAAGTAATTAGGGCTCATATCAGGTTTGGGGTGTGGGGTATTCGTGACAATTGCCTTTTTGGTTTAATGCTCTGGGTTCAAAAATGTTTGAGTGTTGAAGGCTTTGGCAAATTGGTGCTTGGACCATGGGTTGCACGGGATTTCGGGTTTAGAGTTTGAGTTGGGGTTAGGGTTAGAGAGTGCAACGCCCTGGTGGCGTGTATTTCTCGGTAATTTAGAGGTTTTCACACGAGTTTTTGCACCCAGAATATTAAGCGTTGTGTTGCCTCATCCAGGCATGCACCCTTGATTTTGAGTCTTGGGCATGTCACGAAGTAGGAGTTTGTTGGGGAAGAGGGAGGAGGTTTGCCATCCAGCATCTCCATTGAAGTTGAGGTGCGTGATCTGGCATATCATGTCAAAATCATTAAGAATCCATCACAACCCCTGGGTGTCTATCCACATATGCATCTGGCTTTAATGGATGCGTGTTTATGGAAATGTGTATATTTACAGTGCATACGAATGCTGACCTGTAACTTATTGTATATATCATGTCTTCAACTAGGGATTGAAATTGTGGCGTGGGCTGCAGCATAAAAGCGACTATATTGACAGGCAGACCGTCATCGATGTGTATATACAACCGCATCTGAAGCCGTGGCTACACTTATAAAGCTCTGAGGGGTTTGCCACCTTTGAAGGTTTGCTACCCCGTCATCTACTATTGAAGCCTTGGATTGAGAGTGCAATATCTTCTAGTCTGCCTGTATTTGGGAAAACAGTCATCGATTTGAGGATCCAGTTGTGGTTCCGCCACTCATCGAACTTCTACGGGGGTTTGGCTCATTACATCCATGCGCAACACTGCGTTTCAGCCGAATGTCTTCCAGTAGAGTCTGGATGCTCTGGACACATGTCATCTTTTTCGGTACTCAGGTTCGCTACACACTATATATCTTTCGTGGATAAGTGTAGCCCGTGATATGTACTAAAGTGTTCAGACTCTGGTTTTTATTCTGGTGGTCTCCCAGCATCCCCTAATGTGATTTGCATTTCTGGCTGGGTGGGCCACACCTTTTAAGGATTAGCTTACGGTGTAATAGGGCATGTTAATCAGTTATTCTATTGAAGACCTGTTGTTTGCCATCATCCACCCACTTCCATGTAAATCCCAAAGACTATGTAATTACCCATTTCCGTGATGCACACAAAGTTATATGTGTGTGTATGCATGTATACATGTGTCATCCACCCATAATATGCTTGCAAGGTTCCAATTTACATCGTGTGTGCAACTGCATCGTGGCCTTGCGGTTACATACCCAGGTACTTGCATGTATATCGCAAAAAAACCTATCTATATGTGCATATTTATATAGAGATAGATTTATGCATATACATGTGTGTGCGCGTGCATGGGCTTCCAAAGTTCACGAACTTGTATATGGTTGCATAGGCTTCGAGAGTGCATGAACTTGTATACGTGCATATCTATGCATATATATATATGTACACACACATATATTACATGTATATGTAGATGTATATATGTACAGGTGTGGAGGACGTGCTTCCACACAGATTTGAAATTCCGCATCCTGTACCCACCATGCCCTTTCGGGGTTTGGGATCGGAGCCTGCGGCCCTCCATTTTCCTTTCAGTGCATGGCTGCCTAAATGCCTCATTGTTGCATACACATATGCTCGCTTATTTCAGAAATATTGCACATGTTTCCGTGATACTTAAATATGTACGTATATACCCGTGTATGTACATATGTATTAAGCATATATGTATGTGTGCATAAGGATGGGAAAAGCATGAACATGGAAACAGCATGAGCATGTGTGTATGTAAGCATACACATCCATATGCAGGTGTGTATGCATGCCTTCATGTCATATACCAACATGCATACACAGACGTGTATATAGATACATACATATATATGTTGGTACAAACACCTATATACCAAGGTTGGCTTCCAGGTAACTATATATGTTCCGCCTCAAATGTAACAAGGATTTTGTAGCTTGCAATTTTTACTGCATTGTCTAAGTTTCTGGGTGAGGGTCCAATATCTTCTACAGTCTAAGGTTTTGGGTTCGCCACCCAGCATCTCTTGAGACGGTTAGGACCATCATATGCATTTGGGTTCGAGGCCCAATAACTCCTTCTGAACTTGGGTCCCGGTACAAGGATCTTATTCCCATCATACTTTTACTGTGTAGAATGAATTACCCATCATACTTCTGTCACAGTTTTCAGGTGTTGGAGCCGCTTTCCTAGGTGGTGGACAACACTAGCAAGCGTAAAGTCTTGACAGAGGGATGTTTCATTGGACAGGACAGGATTGGTGGCATACTGGAAACCTTGAAATGATTGAGCAACGCTGGATTGGGAGTGCCAAAGGCCGAAGGCTCCAGGCATCCTCTGCTTACAGACATGCGCCCTCCGGATGGCCCCTGGGGGCCGGGCGCCAAAAAAAAAAAAAAAAAAAATTGGCCAGAGATTTTGCACACAAGATTTTTTTTTTCTTTTTTTTTTGGCGCCCCCCCCCCCCAGGGCTCCAGGGCTCCAGGCCTCCATACTCCAAGGCCTAGAGGCCTAGAGCCACACCTTAAGGCCATGCCCTTATGTCCTTGAAAGTTTGTCCCATAACTTTATCTCTCTCGGACCGGTGTTCGGTTATGCCCGAACATTTTCAAATGGTTTGGTGGAATTTGTTGTCAATTCAGAACACGTCGTAAAATGTTGTATGCTGCAAAAACAATGTTGCGGGAAACGAAGAGCTTGCTGAGCTTGCCATCTGAGAGTGCAAGTGAAAACACGAACACACGAAAAAGCACGCCACCAGGGCGTGATGTTCTGTAGGGTTAGGGGTTTCAGGCTATGAGCCCTACATAGTATCCTCAAAAGCTGTCACCAACCGACAGGCCGTGGACTATGGCGTGATCAAGATGAACATCGACACTGACACGTCCATCCCTCGGCGGGTTCTTCGCGCAGTGCATTGTATTCGGAAGTTTGTGAGTAAGCGAAGTTTTGCCTCGGGCGGACTCACTACAGATGCAGTGCTCCAAGACCGGGGCTTAGAACGCTCGTCAAAACCTATAATCAAAATTTCAACCTTCCGGGCTTTGACTATTTGGGGTTTGGGTCCTAGGTGTTTGTAGGAAGCAATCCTGGTGGACGAGGCCGCCCCCGCAACTCCCAATTCGACCTGAGCTCTAGCTCTGGCCCCAAGCCCCAAACCCTAAATCTGTCGACGCAATCGTGCAAGCTGAGGCAGTGGGCCTACTGGAGGGGCATCAAGGACTTCGAGGCCACGGGCTGAAGTCTTTAGACTGTTGACGCTTTTCTACAGAGTCTCAGTACTCAATCATCTGCGGAATGCTTACAGAAACTTACACCCGTCAGATCCCGAAACCATGCTACTCCCGAGTTTCGGTGTTGCCGTTCAGCAATTCGGGGCTGTGATGCGCAGGAAAAGGCCTCAGACCTAAGCTCTGCCCTTCAGACCCGGAATCGGAACGGAGTTGCTTTGGTCTGTACGGACCAAGCTTGCTGTGACTAGCCTCGACCACCGCCGGGAAAGGGATCCGAAGTCAGAGCATCAGGCTTTTGATCTGGCTGCACCCCTACAATCCTGAACAGTAGAGCCCAAGACCTGAACGAGCACTGCGCTATTATCTCCAAGAGGCCCAAACTCCAACCCACGTGCCAGGCAAAGTATCACGACTACCTCCAGGGCCAGATTGGCAACCCGGATGGTGCAGCACTCGGTGTAAGCGAGAGGGGGAGGGAGAGACTGATGGGGTGCTCTGACGTCTCACAACAAAACGGCTGCGGAAGCGCTGCGAGATTTGTTAATACTATAATACCGCGGCCCAACGGATGTTGAAGCCGTAAATCTTAAATGCAAAACTCCATCTCCGAACCTAAACTAGACCCTAAAGACCAAAATGTAGCAAAGCTCAACATCCAAGCCCTAAGACTTTCGAAGCTCCCAGAGACCCACAGCCCGAAGGCTCTGAGAAGCCCAACAAGAAGTACTACGACCCCAGGGCCTGCATGAGGTCGGCAGAGGACCAGGGACCAAGGAATCTCCTCGTTTCATGTGGCGTTTCGGGGTTGGGTTCAGCAAGTAAAGGCCAGGCCTTGAGACTTCCCGGTCCCGGCCTGCAGGTCAAGGATTTTGGGCCTTTAGGGCCTTTAGGGTTTAGGCCTGGTGTTTCAGCGCTTCGGGCTTAGCGCAGTGCAAAGTTTACCTTAAGCACTGTGAGCTTGAGTTTCCGAGTGCAGGCTTGTCGGATAGGTTTACATGCGGCTTGTGTTTTATCGGGTAGTCTTATTTATGTTTTTTCTCTCAGGCTTTGGTTGCACCACCGCACCGCAATGGCACACTTTCCGAATCCTCGTTGCCGGAGCCTGTCGTAGCATGGAATGGTGGACCTAACTTGCGAACCCTATGTGTTTGTTGATGCGCATGTATGGTATGTGCTTGCGTGCCATAGCATGGCATTGCATGGTGGTGCACAGTCTGCATTTACGCAAGCACTTACGCATTTTGTACTTATCATGTTTAAAGATGTGTATGGATTTGTGTGTGCATCCAGCCATCCATCCTGGATGGAGAAGGATGGATGGGCGGATGGATGCAACATGTATGTTGTGCATAACTGCAAGTGTCTGTCTATTTCCATGTATGCATCTGCTGCTTTTGTTCTCTCGCTCTCGCTCTCGCTCTCGCTCTCGCTCTCGCTCTCGCTCTCGCTCTCTCTCTCGCTCTCTCTCTCGCTCTCTCTCTCTCTCTCTCTCTCTCTCTGTCTCTCTCTCTCTCTCTCTCTCTCCTCCCTCTCTCTCTCTCTAGTCCCCTGTCTTCCTCTGAGGTTACGGCTCATCTTGAGATTCTGCTTCCCTTCGCTTCCGGCTGCTAGAAAACAACCTGACTCCAACTGCTCGTCCGTGTTTCCGCAGGCAAGGCTTGTTGAAGCAAGGCTCCAACATCGCCCAATCCCGCTCCATTCCAAAACACAAGAATGAGAGGACCTGACTGCTTCAACGACGCAAAAGCCTTGTCTAAGCCAACGACTCGACACCCTCAGCCAAACCCACGTGTGCTGCGACAGGAGTCTACTGTGGAGCGCATGGAGCAATGCTTCAAGGAGAGTTCCACTTGCTATGCTGAGGGCCGTAGTTGATCGTGAGATTTCGGGCGAGCTATGACTTCTCACCGGCATCTCGCAATTGCGCATGCAGTCAACGACGGTGGCTCCGACGGATTTCACCGGGAGGTGCTGAAGCTGCAAGCGTTCGCTATTCTATACCAGATCGGCGCGAAGCTTTCCCTTGTTGTCGGCCTTGTTTGAGGTTTTGTGCCAGCGAGGACAACGACGATATTCCCCATCTCTACCCTTAATCCACGTACCTGCGACCTCCGATCCCCCAAAATCACTGAAACAGTAAACAATCGATCCCAGTCGGGCCCAAAAGCCTCCGTCGGAGTGCTTAGACCATACTGGTCTAGCACGATCGTCATGATCCCTCTAAACGATTCACCCGAAAACCTAGGGCAGAAAACGAAATGCAGATTCCTAAGCCCTTACTTAGACCAAGCCCCTACACCTAAACCCTCAACTCTAAACACATCCGACACTTCTATGACAGGACCTGCGGTGCACAAACGTCCTGGGCCTGGGCGCTCCCGCTCGTGACTGAGCGATGCGGTTTTAGGACCTTGAACAAAATGGGGCTTAAAGTGGCCTTTTGCTCCTGGGGAGTTATGGGATGTACAAGTAGCATCTGTTGAACTTTGTGAGGTCCTCTTTGGGGTTTGGGGTTGTGGGATCTTGGGCGTAGCATGTGGGGCAAATCCTTGAAGCTCCCCCAGTCCAGGGATTGGGTGCGGCGTAGCTCTTACCGATTTTATAGAAGGCTGTATGGACTTCGGAATATTGCGGAAGAGTTCTGAGGATCTCACCGGTAAGTAGGTCATAAAGCGGATGTTCGTACTCATGCGCTTCGTGTTCCCTCTGTTTGCGAAGTCTCGACCCAGATCCTTCAGGCAGGCCTCTCGGATTGTCATGGAGGGTTAGAGGCGACGAGTTCCTATGGCTATGCAAGGTTTCAACTTGAGCATTTGATCATCCCAGTTAGTTTAATGTTGGGTTTTTTCTAGTGCCTGCATTCAGAAGGGTTCTGGAATTGCGCTGTGTCGGAGAGAATGCTCGTGGAAGCACATTGGCTGACATCTCGTTCGAAACCCTGCATGGGACTTTCGGAGATATCAGACCCTATTGCACAACTTCAACGCTAGATCGGAACACAAGGCCACATGAACAAAGACCACCAAGAAAGCCAGCCCCGCTGACTCTCCGCCGACAGGAAACATCCCTTCACAGTCTCTTCTCGGATTTCGTGTAGATATCCATCACAACAAAACGCACACTCTGAGATCGAGAGACCTGACAGATTGGTGTCAATGAGAAGGCAAGACATTCCGACGGAGAAAAGGCCACAACAATGAGCACTAAAACCCACACCCGAATCCAGGAACCCATCAAAAGGTCCTTGAAAAGGTCTTCGACCGTTGGGAATACCCTTCGTCAGGAAGAGCCATACTAAACGCTTCCACTTAGGAGAAGCCGGAGAACGTCCTCGGACCTCGCCGTGGCGGCCTCCCCGCCTAAGGCGGCACCAGCCTTTGAGCGCTGTGAGTTATCTGAGGTCTTCACTGGGCGGAGGCTGTAATTTTGAGTGCCGCATGTGCTCTTTGGTCGGGGGTAAGCTGTCCTCGTCCCGTAGATAGCTTCAGCCTGCAGGAACTTATGTACAGTTCTTTGCAGGCAAGTCTAAGTTTCGGGGTTGACTTGCCGCCCTTGTTTAAACATTTTCGTCAGCCCGTGCGAAACTGTGAGTCAGCAGGAGAAGGAAGGATCAGGACGCTTATATTTCCGAAACTCGAAATAGAGCAGCTTCCTAGACTCCTGGTCTTAAACCCTTGGCTCTTGACCCCAAGCGCTGGGTTTTGTGAAACCCTTGAAGTTTGCGGATTCGGAGTCAGAGCACGTTTCCATCCTGGGCAGGATCCAACATCCCAAATCACGAAACCCTAATTTCGAAAGACACCCTAAACCTCAAATAGCAAACCCCAGCCTCCAAACCCAACATCTTAAACCCCACCCCCAAATCCGATGCGATGCCTTGAGCAGGCAACACTCCAGCTTTCTCCCGCGCAACTTTGTGTGCGATCCCCGAAGGGTCTATGAAACTGCTGCTACCACACCACCACCCCCCACCACCCCCACCCCTCACCCCCAACTCCCACCACCCCCACCCTCACCGGTATCATCCAAACCGTTTAGTTAAGTGTAGCCCTCATCACCAAGATCAGCATCATCATCATCATCCTCCTCCTAACCATCATCGTCATCACCATCATGATCATGATCATCGTCATCAGCATCCTCACCATCACGGTCGACGTCCTACTTCCTGTCAGCTTTGGGGGGAGGTCCGGTAGAGCCACACTGTCAACTTTTAGGTTCTTGCATCTTAGCATTCGGCGAGTTAGATTTCATTTCTTCCCGCATAGTGTCAGTCTTGAAGAGAAGGAGGGCTAGCTGCGATCCCCAGTATATGCCCGATGATATATCTGGATGCCTTCAATTTCGCTCCTACACAAATCAGCCTGAAAGACTCAAAGCGATTGGCCTAAATTTACCTTAAGGCAAACCCAGGGTCAATGTCGGTGCGACTGCGACAGCGAACTTCACATGATTCTAGTTGTCATGGGGTTGTTCGAGCTGCGGAAGACTAAACGGCCAACAGCTCAATTCTGTAATTGGAGCACGTGAGATCTTGGCCAAAGCCACGAAGCTCGGATGTTCGCACGACGCCACATGATCATTGTTACCATAAGTCCGGCGATCCTGGGTGCGATGTGTCTGTGCTCTGAGTGCTTTTCTGGTTGCCCTTCTACATCAGACATCACAGTAGCTCAGTAGCCGATGCCCAGGTTGCATTCTCCAGACACGGAATTAGGTTGAGCGCCACATGTGAGCCACGATGCCTTTCAGGGCATGACTTTAAGTGCAGTGCGGCCCGGTTCACCCAAAGTGCGGAAGCCTTTGTGTAAGGCTCGCATCAGTGTACGCACGTGACAACAGAAACTCCCTGGTATGATCCGGAAAATTTCGGCCTCCCTCGCGCTCGAGGGGGCATTGCCGCACGTGATTTGTATACTTTTCCCCCAGCAGCAACCTGGGACGATTGTCTGAGCCGGGTGTACGAAACTTCAGGACCTGCAGCTTAAGTGGCTTAGCTGCCGAACATTCCCCGTTGGATTGAGGGCTTGGGCAACAGGATGGTAACCGGCAAGCCCTAACCTGTGCCCTAAATATCCAGCTGCCTCTAGACAACTCTAAGCCTTAACGCCCGGGACGCGGGGTTGATGGATTTGGGCACTCTCGAGTTCTCCGGGGCAATTACACCAAGTATACCATTTCAGGAGGCTACGCATGCACCGGTTGCTCAGCGAAGCCAGCTTCAGACACGACTCTTCCAAAGACACCGTTGGTAGCTCAAACTAGAGTTGTCAGCCCTAAAGTTGTGGTCTGCTGTCGGTCCCAACGGAGTTTGGAGACCTAGCCATCGTGACATGGTAGTCACCCTTCACCACCGCCCTATCTCCAACCCAAGAGAAGCTTCGACTCAACAGCCGATTGCACGCCCGTGAGACTTCGCCTCAGCTTGCACTATAGTTGCATTTTTTCTCAAGCACAGTTTTGAGATTGTAGATGTGGCCTCTCACTCTGGAACAAGCGAAGCTTTGTGGCTTCCCATCCCGAACCTTATGCAAGCCCGCCTTCCCAAGCGGGAGTACTAGTTCTTGAGCCTAGGCATTAGACTCCTACGCTCAAATGTAGCAGCTGCCGCAGAGTTTGAGTTTAGGGTCTACGGTTAAAACTGGACAGCAAGACAGTCTTGGGTTGCGATTTGAAAAATGACGGTAATGAAAGCAAAATTCAGAGACTCTCAATATTCGTGCTGATACCAATACCATTGCTAAGACCAATAGCAACACTAACATTAAGGCTAATATACGAATACTGACGCTAATGCTACTTCCAACTGGATTTCAGTCGAGTATGTTGTGCAAATAGAAATCATTTAACAAGATCGTAATATGTAACATACTAACGCATAGCTTAAGTTAGTGAAATGTAATATAGTAGTTTGTAGTGGTAGCA